GTTTATTGTCTTATAGTTCTGGAGGTCAGAAGTTCTAAATAGGTTTCACTGGGCAACAATCAAGTGTTAGTAGAGCTGTGTTCCCTTCTTCAAAGTCAGCAATGGCCGGTGAAGTCTTTGTTGTATCACATCTCTCTGGCCTGACTCTATTGTCTCYATCTTCCACATTGAAGGATATGTGATTACACTACCACTGAGACAATCCAGGATAACTTCCCTATCTCAGATAGCTACAACCTCAATTCCCCTTTGTGAACATWCACAAATTCTAGGGACTAGGACATGACCTTCTTTGGGAGGCATTATTCYTTAAGATTCACTTGTATCTCACATGCAATTTCCCCAAACCAAGATGCCCCAGTGTCTCAATAGGATCAAGCCCAACAATTTCATCTAAGTGTTATCAACTCCAAATCACAAAATTTCATCACTTAAATCAGATATGGATGRTGATCTGTTTATAATCTCTTCTGGAGAAAGATTATCTCCCTATGTGCTAATTAGTAGAAATATTTTGTTTTTTYCCCTGAGCTCCAGGCTAGAACATGCACAAGCCCATGTGGTGCCACAGCAGGGCAGACATCCTAACCTCTCTCTGGGATTGCAGTCACTGGTCCTCATTTCTTAGGCAAACACCTGCAGTAGCATCCTTGACTCCTTTGTTTCTCTCACATCCACATCCTGTCAATCCATCAGTGATGCCTCACTTTTGTTTTTTGTGATGYTGAGAAACCCAGGGCCTTGGGCATGCTAGGCAGGTGCTCTACTGCTGAGCTGCATCCTCAGTCCTGTTACGTTTATCTTTAAAATCCACAGCCCCATTCTGCCCAGCCGCAGCCCCCACTGCATCCCAAGCCCTCATTCATGGGATCCTTAAAGCACTCTTTCTGAAGCGTTGCTGACACTGTTAGTTCTAGCAGAAGATTCTCCTCACAGCAGCTAGAGTGACTTTTTTGAAACTTATGTCAGCTCGTGCCACTCCCTGGCTCAAAACCATCCTTCCTATCACACTCTGATTATAGTACAAGTCCTCATTATGGTTTGTAGGGCTCACTTACTCTGGCTCCTGCCTGCTTCCCAACACTGTYTTGGACTCTTCCCTGTCTCCTCACTATGCCTGGTCACACAGCCTGATCAGTCTTCTAGCTTGCTGACCTTGTCCATGTCCCAGGGCCTGTGCTGTGCCCTCACTGTTCCCCCATGAGGAACACTCCCCTGTTGACCTATGGCTTATTCTTTTGTGCCTTTGGGGCTCTGATCAAAGGTCCCCTCTTCAAGTAGACTGTCCAACTGCTCTAGAATGGCCTCTCCCYTTGTCCATCTGCTCCCATTGGCTTCATAGCACAATCTTTATTGTTGACTTGCTTTTATTTTTGTTTCCGTCCCCCGCACAATGTCAGCTCCATGATGAGAGGGAGTTTGACCTTCTGAGTCTTTGGTGAATAATAAATAAACAAATGACGACCATCAGCAAATAGAACAAATTGTTGTTCTGGAAATTTTCCCCTCTCCTTTCTGTTTTGTGTCCTAGTGCATTGCCTGCAACTTCCTGGGCTGGTAGGCAGTAATGGTGATAGCAGATATCCTTGTTTTGTTCTGGATTTAAATAGCAAGGTCTCTGGGGTTTTATTGTTAAATATAATTTTAACTGTTGGTTTGAAGTCAAAGTGAAGTAGAATGCTTTTGAAAAAACGTGTTAGCACATGCTTTTGCAACAATTGGTAATGTCTTATCATACATGCATTGCGATATGGTTGGCTTCAAATCCTGCTCTTTCCAAGATGCCAAACTACCTCCTCACAGCTGGCCCTCTAATTTGACCACTCGATAGTCAGTATTATGAACAAGGATGGTGTCACCCTCTCTCCCTGCACMAGCCCCTCCTTCAGAAGTGCAGCAGGATGTTGCTGGCTGTACTGAAATATGGCAAAGGCCCAAGGCTGAGGACAGAAAATGACAAGCTGTTCAGGCCTATGAGATGAGACCTCAGGTCCAAGAGGCAGTCTGCATAGGCAATCTGYACTGCGAAGGATCCCAGCTGTGAATGGGAGGAGAAAGAGATAGTTTTCTCTGGTCCACAGTATGTCCTTCATCTGCTTGGGGTAGGCTTGCTGAGAACCCCCCACCCCGCCAATGCCACCCAGGAGAATGAATACATACAAGCTGCATGGCCGAGAGGATCCTAGTTTCTAAGCACCAAGTAAGGTGGTAAAGGAGCCCTCTGGGAGTTGGCCTCAAGGGCAGCTCCACTTTGCCCAACTCTGGAGGGGAAGTACAACCAAGGACAAGATGAAGGTCACTGGTAGGCCCAGTGAAAACACCAAGGGAAGGAGAAAAGGAGAAATGCAGAGAGGAAGCAATTGCTGAGATCTCTGCTCATTTTTTTTTTTTTGCCTTTTAGTTGTTTTCTTCTTGACTTTTTGGAATTCCATGCTGGGTACACTTAATCAGCCATAGATTTGAGAAGTTTATATGCAGACTGGGGGGCCCCTCTAACTACCTGGGATTTTTCTCCCTCAACTTCCAGCCATTCTGTTTGCTCCCAAGACTGTGGTCTCCCCAGCTTTAATCCTACAGTTACAATCTGTGTGAACTCTACCTCCAGTGTGCTGTGTGCATGGGGAATGCTTTCTGGGAAAAAGCTGTGTTCTTACCCAGTACTTTATTGAGGTATAATATACATAAAGTAAAATGTATGTATGTTAAGTATAAAGGTCAATAAATTCTTATTTTTCCCAATAAATTAGTTTTTCTTGTTCAACAAGTTTTAGCTTTATCCCTATTGTCAGTTAACTCATTCTTTCAATTTAGARTAGTATCTAATGTATAAGTTTATCTTTATTTATCCAGTAACTTATTACTGTTGAAGTGTAATTACTGAGTCACAAGGTAAGCATGTTTACCTAGGAACTAGCAAAGTCTTTCCCAAGGTGATTATATGCCATCCTACATTCTAAGTTACTCCCTGTTATCACCATTTGACAGGTATGCATTGGTATGTCCTTGTGATTTCATTTTGCATTCTCTGATGACTAACATTTACCACACTTTCCTATACTATTTGTGTAGCATTTGAATGGCTTCTATGAAAGTGTGTATTCAAATCACCTACTCATTTTTATATTAGGTTGTTAATAATGTTTTTTTTTTAAAGTTTTTTTTTTCTGGATGAGTTATATGTGTTCTAATATTTTCTTAAGCCATGGCACTTTAGCAGCATCTTTTTGATGAGAAACATCTAATTTTGATGAAATTTACYTTTAGATTTAATAGTTCAACCCCAAGGTCTTTAAAAATACCTTTTTCTTCTGCAAAATGTATTGTTTTGTCTTTCACACAGATCTATAATGCCTTTTCAAAAAATTGTGTACGGTACACAGAATGCATCAGTGTTCAAATTTTTTACTGTACAAATAGCCACTACTCAGTTTCAATAGGAAAAACTTTCCTTTCCTATTGATTTGCTTCGTATTTTTATTGAAAAGTAAATGACCATGTATAATAGGTCTATTTCTGGACTCTTATCTATTGATATATTCTAACTCTAGTATCACACACTCTTACTTATTGCAACTTTAGAGGAAAAAATCTTGAAATTTGGAAAGTGTCAAGTCCTCCAGTCTTATTTTCCTTCTTCCACATTACATCTTAGTCAATCTGTATCTACTGCATTTCCACTTGTCAATTTCTACAAAGCCTAGAGAGGGATCTTGATTTCATTGAATCTATAGATCAATTTGTGGGAAACTGACATCTTAATATTATGCAATCTTCCAATCAGTAACAATAGTGTATCTATTGTGTGTGGTTTTTCTTAGCACTGTTATCTAGTTTTCAGGTTAGAGGACTTATACATCTTTTGTCTTCCACAACTTTCTTCTTAGATATTTGACTTTGTTAATTATATTTCATTATAAATGGCATATTTTAAAATTTAATTTCAACTGTTTATTTCAAATGTATACATATGCAATCGAGTTTTGTATATTTGCCTTATCCTGAAAATGGCAGAAAAATAAAGTAACTCTTTGTATACACCTTTCACAGTTATCACTTTCAGAAATACTACCTTCTGAATTTCTCCTCTGAAAAACATGTAAACCTTGGAGTTTAATTTGTTCTTGGTATTTATTTGTGGAAGATAAGAGCACTGAAGCCTACAAAAAGAAACCTATGTTTTTTTTAGCTAAATGGAGAACAGGGAAAATGACACAAAGGCCTGCATGGTGTGTTACATTTGCAGAATGGTAAACAAAGTGGTATTTCTCAGGAATACCAATTAGGAAAGGCAGACTATTACAATGGACTGAGATTAAGATTGGGTGAATAGGTTTGCTGAGATTCAAATTATCTTTAATTGTCACTTATAAAATTCTTCACTGGGCTGGGGCTGTAGCTCAGCAGCAGAGCGCTTGCCTAGCATGTATGAGGCACTGGGTTGGATCCTCAGTAGCACATAAAAATACAATAAAGGCATTCTGTCCATCTACAACTACAAWTTTTTTTWWAAAATTCTTCACTGGTCAAATACTAGTTGTATGTATTCATCCCTTGCTTTTTCTTTTCATTCTCAATTTCATTTGTAATAGAGAGATTAGCATCTCTAATCTACAAACAGCTATGATAAAAAGGGATCCATTTGAATTTCAAATAAAACCAATGTAAGGCACAACTATTCAGGAATCTTTTATATTTTCAAAATATTTAGGAATATTTTAATTAGAAAAATAAAGGCAATGGGATTTCTATCAGATTCTAAAAGTACCCATGAATTAAATCACTCATATCCCCCACTTAAAAAAAAAAAAAMAAAACCAAACCAAACCTTAAATCACATTGCTATTAAGCTTTCTTATAGTAAGGAATAAGACCAAGCTATGCTAAAGTACAAAAACCTGAAATTCTGAGCATGAAAATAATTTATTGATTAGACATCTGATTTGTTCAAGCAGTAGGCCTAATGAAGACAGAATTAACAYAGCTCATGGAATAGAAAAAAGATTCCATCCAGCACCTGCATCATTTCATATTTCCTGGGGACAGATTATGCATTCTGTATCACAGCCTCACCCTAAAGCATCCACATGTGCTTGATGTTGATGAACTTGAATTGGATATAAGAAACTTCATGTTTGGCAAGTATCATTAATGATGTTACTTTCAGAAACAATTCTTAGGCACTAGAAATAGCACTGCCTGCAGTGAGTCTTTGAAAACTAAAGAAAAGAATACCATCAAATATAATCTTAAAAACAGGAAGGAAAATATATGCATTTTCGTGAATGAATTGTTTTACATATCAGGAAAAAATGTTGCAATGAGGTTTTCTTTCTAGGAGAATTAAAAAGTAACTTTTAATTGATAGGTGATTTTTGTGGTATGAAAAATCAGAGAAAAATAAAACCAATTTAACCTAAATGGAATTTAAAAAGAAATGCAGGACTAGTAATATGCACTTCTTTGGCTAACTTATTAAAAACTGCTAATTAAACATTTTCAGTCAAATTTTATTAAAAAAAAGCAGCAGATCAACATTACAATTCAAGAATCTAATCTAAATATGCACTTGACAATGAAGCACATCTGAGTATGGAGTGAAAAAGGTTTTCCAAAAAAACCATCAAATATATTATCTCCAAATACCCAAATTATAAACCACTCCTTGAAAGCCTTTTGTTAAATGAAATCATAAAGAACTGAAGATTTATTGCTGTGAAAACAAATCTGTAGTACAGTAGTATGAATCTTGGGTATTAAGCATAATCAGCTGAATCAAGTTAGGAAGGTGAAAATGTGGTAAGAAGAATGTGTGTGTGTGTGTGTGTGTGTGTGTGTGTGTGTGTGTGACAGAGAGAGAGAGAGAGAGAGAGAGAGAGAATGAGAGAGAAAAGGGAGGGAGGGAGAGAAACAGATAGAAGACCGAGACTGTAAGCCAGTTGACCCAAGAACAACTGATATCTAACTTGTTCAGTTGAGACCAGGCATCATGTTAATTCTCCATTTTTTAGAAGGCAATTAAAAGTCACAATTCCAACAGCCCACAAATCAAATAAAAATATTGTAGAAAGAAATTAAAACTATGTTCAAAGAGCTTTTTCTCCCAGCTCATTTTCAGCACCCCAAGGAAAATAAAAGCATCCATGACTATCACAGATGAAAATAAAATGAACGTCATTGGAATCAGTTATTTTTCCCCACTGAGGTATAAAATCTATATAGAAATTTGATACTATACTATAACAAATTGTACTTCTCATAGTTCTGTTTTAATTTTGTTTAAACCCTGTTTAATATAGTTTTTTTTTAATGTAAAAATGTTGTTTTCATGATTCTGTATCTGGTTTCAGTTCTTTTTCATTTGCTTTTATGTCAATGTTTAATATACTGGCTACCAGTTCTAATCAGGAAAAAAATCTTGGTAATCTCTTCATTGACAGCACACTCAGCAGAAATTACTGATGTGCAAGCAAACCATAAAAGGTGCAGCTCTCCAGAAAGCACATTTTGTTGACTGTTTCACTGTCTGAATATTCTTTTCCATGATTCTTGATGAAAGACTCTTTCAATCTTGTAAACATCAGTGTGCACAGTCTCACTACTATGCAGTTTCACGTCCTTGGACAGGAAGGCTGGTTCGCAGCTAGTGAAAAGCTAGAGGAGTCTGAGTTTTAATGGCTGATAAATCTTACATCCCGCAGAGGAGGAAAGCACTTTTCCTTTTTTGCTACTTAAGAATGTGGCAGAAACGTATGCTGAGGTAGCCCAGTCAATCCTTATTTTTTTCTTTTTTTAAAAATTTGGTCTCAGAATATTTCTGGAAGGGTGACATTTCGAAGAAGCCACTGCTGGGACCGGCTTCCACTGCAGTCTCTAATGCTGGGCACCTGGCTGTCCTCTTCCGTGGCTTTATCCAGGCACTGATTACTGTTCACATGCTGCAGGGTTAATTTCTGAAAATGACGGGGAAAAAAAAAGAAATCTTAACATGAAAGTGGAGAAGGAAAACATCACCCCACCCCCTTTTCTTGGTACTGGGGATTGAMCCCAGGGGTGTTCAATCACTAGGCTACTTCCCTCGTCCTATTTTATTTTGAGACAGTCTTGTTAAGTTGCTTAGGGCCTAAGTTGATAAAGCTGGCTTCAAATTTGCTATCCTGCTTCAGCATCCCCAGTTGCTAGAATTACAGGTGTGTACCATCACATCCAGCTTCAACTATCATTTTGGTGATTACTAAATTTGTCTGTAGAAAAGATTTTTGGTGAGCAGTATAAATTATTTAAAAGACAACAGAGGAAATGTGCATATTTAAAGATGCATTAAGAGCTAAGTGGGAGAGAAAATCCATTTGGTTCAGTGGGGCACAATTGACCTGCAGGAAGATGACCTAATTCTAAGCCCTAATTCTGGCATAAGCTCYGTAACACTGTGAGAAACTTCTCTTTTTGTGAGTGTGCACTCTGGTTTCCCTAAAAAAAGAAAGAAATGAAAGAAAGGAAGACCAGATTGGTTCCTAATTTAGGATCCTCCAACCTATTTCCAAACAGCAATTTCAAAGTTTTTTCATTCCCCTGTGATAGGGCTTTTCCTGTAAACTCTGTGATTCCAAATCTCAAGCTTTAGAAATTTAGGTCTTTTTGCAGAATTAAAGTTGTATGAACACTGGGATGGCTACGATTTGGTACAAGCAATCTTAAGTCTGTGTTATATTCAATCCAAGAAAAGACTAGCCTTGTGGTTAAGGCAGGTGGTGTGGTACACAAGAACAACACAGGAACTTGAGTTAGTCTGGTTCATAGCCTGGGTAACTTGGCCTTCCTCCTTTTAAAAATGTAGATTACATATTTTGAGCAGATTCTGTGAGGTTGAGACAACAAAGTTTAYATAATATCTTACAAAGAAGGTACTTAACAAATGGCTGACAGATAAAGCTATGCATCTTCGTATCTACTCATTTACATTTTGTAATTGATATTATCTTGTTGATTTTTAGGATAATTTCAAAAAGGCAGGAAAGAGAGTTAACAGATACACAGTTAAAATGATCCAGACTCTGATAATGTACTCTGGTCACATTAAAGTCTTCAGAATAGTTGTGGCAGGCATAAACTTCAAGTTATTTTWTAAGTTCAAATGACTTTAAGGAAAGGTGGGACATCAACAAACATATTTATTTGGTTTGCTGACAATTTAAAAATAATTATTTTATCTGGAAMATCTCATTTTCATGAAGTTTTTCTTTTATACCTATGTCAAAACAAAATGTAATGATTATATAACAACTATTTTGGCTTCTAGTCATTCACTATTCTTGTGTTAAAACAAAGTGAGAACTGGCAAAAGATGGTATACATTTGCAGATGTCTCTATCCACACTGATTTAGGTTCAGTGACTTTTGAATTCCTATAAATGCATAAAAACGGAACCGAAAAAGAGTGGATGTTTTAATTTTTCACACAKATGCTGTGTAATTTATTGGCTGATAAGGTGGGCTTAGCAGTCAGACATTCCTGGAATGAATTTTGGATTTGTCAACTGAAGCATAACTTAATGTAACTCGTCATCAAAACAACCTCTCTGACACTCAGTATTCTCACTATAAAAAGGAAGCAAAAATACTCACTTCACTGGGTTTTTGTGAGGAAACAATGAGAAGATGTACACAAAGTGTTATCTAGTCTGGACTAAGAACTTGACAAATGGTACTTATTAAAAAACAATATCCTAGCTACACCCTGGGCAGCCATGAACACAATCTAGCAGCCCGACATACTAGACTGCTGAAGCTCTGCATGCACACTGTTGCCAAAGCAGTCACATAAACAATGCAGAACAAGAACAAATTCAGCAAAGCAGCAGGATACAAATTCAACATACAAAAATCAATAGCTTTTCTATACACCAATAATGAACCCAATGAAAAGAAGTCAGGAAAACAATTCCATACATGATAGCCTTAAACCAAAACAAGGGAATAAATCTAACAAGGAGGTGAAAGATCTCTACAATGAGAATYATAGAACACTGAAGAAAAAAATTAAAGAAGACATTAAAGGTAGGAAGACCTCTATGTTCTTAGGCAAAATTAATACTATTTTTAAATGACTGTATTATTAAAAAAAAGTGATTTATAGATTTAATAAAACTCCCACCAAAATACCAATGACAGGCTGGGATCATAGCTCAGTGGTAGAGCGCTTGTGCCTTACAGGGGTGAGGCACTGGGTTCAATTCTCAGCACTGCATATAAATAAATGAATAAAATAAATATCCATTAACAACTAAAAAACAATTAAGAATATGAATAGAGAACCTACAGAATAGGAGAAATCTTTGCTAGCTACTCTCTGATAGAGGATTAATATATAAAGAATATATAAAGAACTCGAAAAACTTAACACCAGGGCTGGGGCTGGGGCTCAGTGGTAGAGTGCTTGCCTAGCATGTGTGAGGCCCTGGGTTCRATCCTTAGTGGGAAACATTTCAATATATAAATGCAGGCATCAACTTCCTTAATAAGACTCAGTAAATGATGTATAAATAAAGCTCAGTAAATAACAATAAGAATCTATAAGTGGAATGGCATCAAATTAAAATGCTTCTGCACAGCAAAGAAAAAAATTAAGAGCATGAAAAGAAGCCTATGAATGAGAGAAATTTTTTGCCAGTTACGCTTCTGATAGGGAATGAACTAAATACTCATTTCTTAAAAGAAGAAATGCAAATGGCCAACAAATATATAAAAAAAAATGTTCAATATCCTGAGTAATCAAGAAAATGCAAATTAAAACTACACTGAAATCTCATTTCATTTAGTTAAAGTGGCAATCATCATCTATGTATGATATATCAAAGTGCATAAATGCATTCTACTGTCATGTGTAATTAATTAAAACAAAAAAATTCTTAAAAAGAGAAGAGAATATAAATAATAGATGATGGTGAGAATGTGGGGATAAAGAAACACTTGTATAATGTTGGTAAGATTGTAAATTAGCATAACCACAATGGAGATTCCTCAAAAGACTAGGAATGAAAACAAGGGATGACCTAGCTATTCTGCTCTTTGGTATTTATCCAAAATAACTAAAACTAGCATATTATATTGATACAGGCAMATCAATGTTTGAGTCTTGTCTTTTTTTGTGTGTGTGTGTGTGTGTGGTGTTGGAGATTGAACTCAGGACCTCACACATACTAGGCATAGCATGCTATACCACTGAGCCATATTCCCAGCCCTACCATCAATATTTATAGCAGTGCAATTCACAATAGCCAAGTTATAGAACCAGCCTAGGTGTCACCTACACATGAATGGATAAAGAATATGTGATATATACACAATGAAATTTTATTCAGCCATAAAGAAGACTGAAATTATGCCATTTGCTGGTAAATAGAATTAAAGAACATTATGCTAAGTGAAATAAGCCAGACTCACAAAGTCAAGGATCGAATATTTTCTCATATG